GTATAATCATGCTGCTATACAGAACACATCTCATGGATGGTTCTATTGTAGGCCTATTCACAATAGCAAAGACCTTGGAATCAGACGCAAATGCCATCACAGTGACAGACTGGATAAGAAAATGTGACACATATACAGCATGGAATACTATGCAGCCATAAAAAAAGGATGAGTTCGTGGTGCTTTGTAGGACATGGATCGCAGCTGGAAACAATCATTCTCAGCAAACTATCGCAAGAACAGAAAAACCAAACCCCCGCTTGTTCCTCACTCATAGGTGGGAATTGACCAGCGAGAGCACTTGGATACAGGAAGGGGAAACATCACACATTGGGGCTATTGTGGGGAGAGGAGTGGAGGGGATAGTATTAGGAGATATACCTAATGTACATGATGAGTAATGGTGCAGCACACCAACATGGCCATGTATACATATGTAAAAAACCTGCATGTTGTCACATGTCCATAGAGCTTAAAGTATAATTTTTTAAAAAAAGGGGGAAATTAGGCCGGGCATGGTGGCTCATGGGTAATTCCCAGCACACAAGGAGGCCAAGGCAGGGGCATCAGTGAGGCCAGGAGTTCAAGACAGCCTGGCTAACATGTTGAACCCCCATCTCTACTAAAAGATAACCAAATACCAAGGGGTGGTGGCACGCAACTGTACTGCCCACGACTCGAGGGGCTGAGGCAGGAGAATGGCTGAACCTGGGAAGTGGAAGGTTGCAGTGAGCCAAGATCCAGCCATGCAAACTCCAGCCTGGTACCAGGCGCAAAGACTTCATCTCAAAAAAGAAAAAAAAAAGGAAATTTTAAAACTGAGAAATACAATATCCAAAATGAAAATCTCACAGTAAGAGCTCAATAGCAAAATGAAGATGATAGAGAAAAGGATAACAACTTGAAAATAGATCAGTATAGATTACCTAACCCAGCTAATTTTGACTTTGCTCCCCTCAGGAGACATTTGACAAATCTAGATACAAATTTGGTTGTCACAACTTGGCGTATGTAATTCTACAGGCATCTAGTGGGTAGAGGCAGACCTTAAAAATCAAGAAAAAGTTTGAAAGAAGAAAAAATAGAGCTATGGAGACCTAGTGGGAAAGTGTCCTAAAGTCTAAGTTTTAACTAATTGGAGTCCTAGAAGGAGAAGAGAAAGAGATTGGGCCAAAAATCATATTTGAAAGAAGAATGACCAAAAACTTCCCAAATTCAAAGAAAGACAAACTTATGAATTTAAGCCCCAAACAGGATCAAATTAAAGGGAACAACATGTAAAAATAATAATTAAGCTGAGGACAACAAAAGACAATACGATTTTACTTGCGTGTATGTATGTGTACAAATAGCATATATATGAAGCAGCTAGAGAAAAACAACATATTAATATCATTGGGGAACAATTACTTGAATGACCATAGATTTCTAACCAGAAAACATGGAGACCAACAGACAATGAAACAGTATCTTTAAAGTAAGGGGAAAAATGGTTGGCACGGAATTACAGACCCAGTAAAAATATCTTCCACAAATAAACGGCAAATTAAGAATAAAGACATCTTCAGATAACAAATGACTAAAAAATGCAATTACCAGTAAACCTACTCTAGAATAAATGTTACAAGGAGTTTTTTAAGTTTGAAGGGAATGACATCATTTCAAACACATTTCCTGGTTTCAGAGGAAAACTTACTTTGGAAACAAAGGAAGGATACCAGAGTTAGTAAACAGCTGTTAAACATGAAATATTTATTATTATTCCTAGTGAGTTTTATACAGTCCATAAAATTATTTAAAACAAAAATTGTACCATTATATGGTGCGGTTTCCAATATATGTAGTGTTAATATACATGAACTACTACAACAAGCATCAGTGTTGAATAGAGAGACATATTATACAAAAATTTCTACATTTTACATAAAGAGGTACAATGTCACAGAAGACCCCGGAGAGTTAGTCATATGTATTATAATCTCCAGAGCAACCACTCAAAAAATATGGATATAAAACCAAAGAAGTCCATAGATAAAAATGCTGTTAAAAATATTCAAATAATCCAAAAAGTGTCAGTAAAAAAAAAAAAAAGAACAACAACAAAAAATAAGGGTGGAACAGAAACACAATAATAACATAGTATACTAAAACCAGTTACATCAATATACATTAAATTATAATTATCTAAACTTGGCAATGCAAAACCAGAGATTGGCATAGTGGATAGAAAGTCCCTATATATAAAGCTACTTAAAGGAAACACACTTTAAATTTAAAGTCATAGTTAGTTTAAAAATAAATAGATGAAAAAGATACAGCATACATCAATAAGCATCAGAAACTCGGAATTGCTATTTAATAATACAAGGCAGACTTCAAATTCTTGAGTCACAGAAAGTCTCAGTATCTCAGGAGGTTTGTGTTCAGCTGCCCTGCAGTCTCAGGCACTGTGTCATTCACAGCACAGAAGTACTCAGCCGCGTCGCTCACATGGGCTGAGGCTTTCGTCAGGTGGAAGGAGGTTTCACTCTTTTTAAATTCAGCCTCGAAACCGTTGATGCCTTTAACCAGGGTGGTCCCTGATATGTACTTCAGGAGAAGCTGGAGTCCTTGGTTGGGGTATTGCACATACCAGAAGAGATATGGTGAAACAGACGATGAGTAGTTGCACCTCAGCAGCACAGGGACTCCTTCAGAGACAGAGACTTGGCTGTCAAGCTGGGTCACAGACTGGGCTCTGGTTCCTCCTGCAACACCAATGCTGTGTAAGTAAAAGCAGCGCAGACTTCGCTAAGAAGTCTACTTAGAGGCAATTACAACACAGTCACGTTTACAAAAGGAAGAAAAGGAATGGAATGTTACTCACCCAGGGTAAAAATCACCTCGAGCACTGGCACGAGCAGCAGGAGCATGGCTGAGGAGTGGCAACGCTAGAGGGCCCTGAGCAGAGCGGACAGAAGCCAAGGGCCCTGAGCCTCAGGAGCTAGGAGCAGTGAGAAGGTTGGGCTGGACAAGTCCCTGGCTTTGAAAAGTTTCCAAAACACAAAGAGGTCTTCCCTTAAGGAGTCTGGATGTGTTCTGACCTCTTGTTCTCCTCACAGCTCCCTATCTACACACACATCAGTGAGCTACATCAGCCAGCTGCAGGGAGGAGGCTCAGTAGATGAGGACGCTCTGCAACGAACACAGATGCCTCCTTAGTGCAACGTCGCCCCCTGAAGGGCACACGTGGAACCACAGATCCAAGGAAGTGAACTGTTCCTTCTCATTTGAGAGATGTGATCTCAAAACCAACAGAAAGTGTTTCTTTCTTCCCGAATCCGTGATGACGTCACCTTCCGTAGAGTAAATGGTTTTAAGTTTAAATACATGAAAAAGGAGAGTTATGTAGAAATAGAAGAGTAATTTACTTCACTGAGAAATTAGTCACAGAAGACAACGTTGTAGACTTTGGAAAACCATTGAGACACTCTATATCAGTAAAGCCGTTCATCAAAGAGAGGAGTGGTGATCAGTTGTCTCAGTCTGGGCTGAGTCTCATATGGCCCTGTGCAGCTGGATGTGGGCATTACAGTAGGTGAAAGAGATTGTTCCTTTATTTGATTCTTTAAAAAATAAATTAGATCAGAGACTCATACTTAAAGTCAGCCTGGATCACATGTCATTAATTAATTAACCAAAGCAAACGATTAAAGACAAGAATTTTCTTTGTCAAGTGGAAAGTGTGGAAAAGGCTTCCTAATTTCATGTCAACAAGTTTAATATTTGTGAACCTAGGAGAAAATAACTTAGATAACTTATATTTAAAAAGAGAAAGTGAGAGTCCTATTCCAACTGTCAGTGTTCAGAATAGACTGATATATTGTGCCAAATTATGAGAATCTGACACTAAAAAAAAAAAAGCAAGTTCCCCAACCCCAAAAATAAAGTCCCCCAACCAAGAAAAAAACTGAAAAAAAAGAAAAAGGGAAAAAAAAAAAAAAAAAAAAAAAAGGAATAACAAAAGAAGTAAAAAAAATTTTAAAAAAGAAAACCAAAAGAAACCAAAAAAAGGGGAAAAAAGGCCAACAACAAAACAAAAAACAAAAGAAACCGCTGAGAGGTATAGAAATGGTGAGAGATATTGATGGTGACGCTCAACAGAGCTAAGTAAACAGCAGTGCCATGTGGGTGGGAGAAAAGGCATAGCAAACAAGAACAGACTGCCCTGTGCCCCAATAATAAAACGAAGCTTTTGAGCAAAAAGCCTTCCCCACCAAACCTATTGCAACATAGAGATCATTGGATCCTAAAAAAGAAAAAAACAAAAAAAGAAAAAAAACCCAAGGAAAAAGGGAATTTAAAAAGGCAAAAAAAAAAACGCCTTCTGAATACTCCATTGACTTGTACCAGCCTGAAATCAGTTTTCCCCTGGGCTTCTGATCTATTTCTTGATTCTGCCTATAAATTGTTTATCACATGTAAGACTAAATTATGTAGTCAGTTTAAAAATTTAAATGTTACTAGGGTGGGCTTCTGATACAAAACTTCTAACTAAACACATGTGCTATCCTCTTAACTCTCTAAAATTCCCACTGAAATGAAATGTAAAACTATAAGCAGAATGACCTGAATCCATTAATAATAAAAGTAATAAAAAGATGAAAGATATCACAATTCCCATGAGGTAGACGATAAGTGGATGCGAGCACACTGATGGATAAAACAGAGAGGGGAAATGTCTGGGCCAGAATGAACTATGAGAAGATTACAGTAGAAATGTGAATGGAGGGAAATGTGAATGGTGGGACCCTGGAGAGGTTCTGGGCTGAGAAAGAGAGTAGGTGACGAAGGGTGAGAGGAACAGAACACAAGAGAACGTAGTGAAGGTCCACATGTGGAATGGCTGCACTAGCCTCCCTCTGTTCTCACCAACCTGCTTCTGTATTTGTGTGTGAAGCATATGAAGCCAACTTGGGGCACGTAATCTTCATGAGAGTTTACATGAACCATCTGGGATGGTTTCAGTTTTTATTATCAGTAGTTAATAGAAGTGGACCATTTTCAATGATATTACATTCAGGGAACAAAGAGAAGCAACTTAATTACCAGTTCCCTCCTAATTCATCCTAGAAAGAAGCCTGTCAATTCACATGACAGGCCCACATACCCACACTACTGGCCAGGCACCCCATTCAAAAAGAAACCTTGTGGGGAACATGGACACAATGACATGAGGAGTCCATCCTGCTACCCAGTCCTTCATTCTTAAACACAAATTAATAACAAAATAGGAGTAATCGTGTATAAATATAGATGGTATCTCTGTTGTTCTGTCTACATGTGGAAGCCCAGAGTCGTGAACTGTAAATCGTCAGAATCATTGCTACCTGGATAGAAAGTGATGGATAGAATATCATCTCATCATTCCCAAAAGCAACTAAGATAGTAGAGTGGTTCTCTGATCACTACTCTTTTAAAAATTCCTGAATTTTAGCTTTGAAAAAATGTTTCCTTTTATCTGTTTTTTATATTTATTTAGATGGTTTCCGTTAACAAGTGCTTTAACTTACATTATTTCAACTATTCAAAATTAGTCAGGCCAACTGTATAAACTCCTTAAAATAGAGAGAGAAATTAAAATTCAGAATACGATTAAAGTTTATTATTTCTTGAATGCTGCCCACATACCAGTCATGCTCCATAGTAATAACGAACACTGCTGATCCCCAATTTAGATCTCCTTTCCTAGGACAGTGTAGCCATCCCCCGCCACTGTGAGTGTTGGCTACTCTTGGCTCACAGTTGCCCCTTTCCCTAGAAAGTTGACCTCTGCCAATGAGAGTCACGATTGTCCGGTAGCATATACCTCTACCCCAAGAAACAGCACAGCCAATTATGATTTTATTCTTACCCACAATAGGTCAGAGCAGTCTGACTCCCTTGTCTCAGGGTGGGAGGAATCACCCCTTTGATGCAGTTCACTCTCCAGAGCTCCCTATAAGGTCAGGCAGGATCAAGACTCCCACTGGACCATGTCCATGCTTAGCCTTTCCCCCGTCTCAACCTGGTTTCCTCAATCAATTACAGAGAAAGAATTCCAAGTGCGGTCTCTACTTTTAAGGAACTCATCCCAAGGCAGTATGTTATCTCATTTAATACTGAAACAAATCCTGAAATATATGTAATATATAGCCTAATAAATGGACCATTACTAACATAAATATTCAAACAAAAAACACAACCCAGGTTCTTTCCAGAATGCCAGGAAGCCAAAAGGTGTACAATAAATGTGGAACTAAAATTTAAGGATCTTGATTCTGGCGCAACTTTCTGCTCTTCCTTACTGCCTTTCACATCTTTCTTCCAAGACTTGGAAAGATTTGTTCAGTCTTTCATTCTTCAGATTAAGAATTTGAAGCACATTTGGATTGAGTTGCATCCTTTCCATCAGTGACTATGGGAACAACTCTGGACAGAAATCTTAATTCTCCATTTCTAAACTTTCCCACTTTGGGGACTACATAAACGATATCATGCCCAACAGACTACAACTTCACTTTTATAATAAAGTGATGTTCAAAGTTTTTTCCTGTAATTCAACTTAATATCTACTAAAAAGCCTTCTTTTCATCAGGCACAAATATTTTGCCCTAACTTAGTATACATTGCAGGGCAAATATGTATTGCTAGGTAGTCAGAGGAGGGAGGCAGTGCTCCTCTGCTCTTCAGTGTCTTTATCTGCTCTTCAGTGTTTCCAACTCTCCTCCAACATTTGCCGAAACATGCTCAATACCAAATGGTCTCTGGTCACTGGTTTATACAGGTCTTTGTTCATCATAACAAAGTCTCTTGGTGTCTAGACTTCTTTTAGATACTTAGAGATCCTTCTCAATAAATTTTAAGTCATCCCAGCAGGGGCTGTGAGTATGTGACATGTTGTGACTAGGCCTAAGACTCCCTGCCATCTCCAAGCCACACTCAGTTACATAGGAATCAATATACTCTTCCACAAGATTTTGAGTTCAATTCAGACTTTACCCCAAAATGGCAATATAGACCCTCTCTAATCTTCAATCTCTGCAAATGTCTAGGCTTTTTTTAACCAGTTCTCACCCTCTCCCTCTAGTTCTTCCAACTACTCATCAAATGTGCCCTTATATAACTCAGGAGTGGCACTGCAGCTGAGACTGGAGATGGGGTGAGGGTCCTATAACTAAAAGAATTTATGACTTACAGGATTTTCACAGTAGTTTGCTGATTTTTTTTATTTTGCATTTGTGTTTTTCTGTTGCATTCCTAAAGCAATGACCATCAAATTTCTTGGGTAACTAAATGGGGAAAGAATAAGATATCCTATGGACAGTGACAGAATATCTGTTATTGTATAAAAATGTTTTCCTGATATAAATAAAAAGAATCATAAAACCAATCTCATAAAGCAAAAATGTGGCACAAAACTAGAGTGGGCATTAAAATGTATACATTATGTAATATATGCACCTGGCTGTCTATCAATCATACCTAAATTTTTTTTAAAAAGGAGGGAGGAAGTAAACTTTTAGAGATGATGGATATGCTTATGGCATAGATTGTGATGTATGTATGAAACGAATATGTAATCCTTCTGGTTTGTCAGTGATCTCAAAAAATATTTTAATTTTTTTTAATCTCTCCAGAAGAAACATAAAAAATATTTTAAAACTAAAGTAGAAAGAGAATACTAGAAAACATTTTAACCAGACCAAGATTGTATCTTTCATTTTCCTTCAGGGTCTTAATTATTTTCAGAATTATAATAATACTTCCCTGATCAATCAGTCCTCCATACTAGTACTCTTAATTTCCACTTGAATCTGGAAAGCAAAGACAACTTGACTGCTCTGCAGTCTAAGCTCTACATCAGGCATTCCTGGGGCACAGCAGGTTTGGGTACAGACTGCAGGTGTCTGGGGAGCACTGTGTATACACTGCACAGAGGTAGGTGGCTGAATCACTGAGCTGGGAGTCTCTGATGAGCAGGGAAATATACTGGCTGGCTCTATTGAGCTGTGCTGTAAACCTTCCATCTTCGTTACCACTGGAGTATACAGACATCAGCAACTTAGGTTCTTTCCTGGAATACTGTCTGTACCAGAAGAAAGACTGGGAGGCACTGTTGCTGTAAGTGCAGTTG